GTTTCTTATATAGAGGAGAGGATAAAGAAACAGAGGTAGACGCCGGAAGTTTGGGAAAAGAAACCAGGGGTAAAGCTAATGGTTTTGGGAGTTGATAGACGAAAAAGGGTCTCTGGGAGGGGCTAAATGACAGAAATGGGTGGGGTCAAATAAGATTTTCGTATGTGATTTGTTTGTAATGAATTATTACCTAGTGAGTTATTGGTGGTGCTTGGTTGGCTGGGAGGAACGGCACTGGCACACAGTTTTTGCTTTATAAAATCCGCAATTTAATACTTTCTTGGTTCCTTTTTTTCTTTAGGAGAGTTTGTTTGGTTTTTTTAATTTTTAAGATATAAATTTTAAATAAAATTTAATATATTATATAGATAATATTTAAAACTTTTTATTAAATAAAAAAACTTTTTAAATATTTAATAACATTTTTTAATTATTATTTATATCAATTATTATTTTTTATTTAAAATTTATATTTAAAAAGCTAAAAAAATTAAATTAAATCTATTAAAAATAAATTTTAAAAAAATAATATCATATATTAGTGACATATTTCAAGTAAATTTGTAAATAAAAAAATTAATTATATAATAACACATCAATTTACAATATCATGACATATTATATTATATTATTTTTATTTTATGAAATTTTTAGTTTATGTTTTAATGGTGTATTTATTATATTTTTTTACAATTAATTTATATTAAAAAATTAAAATAAAACTTTAATTTTATTCATTATTTAATTAAAAATATATATACTATTAGTGACAAGAATGTAGCCAACTTTTAATATTTTTTATAAATATAAAATATAAAATTAATATACTCTTAATTTAAATATTAAGTATACAGAGTAGACAACTCCATCGTTTTAAAATCTAAAATTGGGAAAGAAGTTCAAAACCAATTTACTCTTTCTTTAGAAAACAAGGGTTATGGTGAATGTTCATCCAACTAGCATGGCGTTGTATCACTGTGTTGTTATTAGGATTGTACATTGCTTGGTTTATGGGTTAAGGGATTAATGTCACTATCAGGCAAGTGTAAGCAGATGGAGATTTGGACAGATGAAGAAGAATCATCTTCCTTTAATAATTTTTAATTAGGAGAAGTAATGGGATTTAGATTAATTGCCTCTGGATTCAATTGTGATTTTCTTTTGTTCCATTAACCAGAAGTTGGCATTTCTTTGCCTTGAGCTTACAAAAAAAAGTACAGGCTATACCTATACAAATTGCAACTGGGAAGATCGAATCTTCTAAAGTACTATAATAATGCTAGATATTCATCACTTTCCAACAAATACATACATATTACTAGTACTATATGATAATGATAACTTACCCCAAAAAATGACCAAAACCACAAGTAGACCATAGTAAATTATTCTTTTTTTTTTT